ATAAATGTCTAAGAGAATATATGTACTGTATGTATAAGTATATATACACTCACTGTTTTGTACACTATTTTTTTCTTCTTAACAGCATGCTTTATAATTCTGTATATTCTGTTTCCTGCTTTTTTCACTTAACATGCTATGCTGAATAGATACTGTGGACAACAGACTGGAATAATTACAGAGTTAATGTAACATACACAAGAGGAACAGGGGCTGAGGAAGAGTATGGACCATGGCAAACTGAAAGCCCATACCCCATTGCAAGGAGTGTCAACTCCTGTTGACAGTCGCCATGTGAGGATTTGGGCCCAAGGGTATCATATTTTCTATTTTTCCCAATAAGGCTGGAAGTCTGGATTTTTATCTTCAATCTGAACTTTAAATGTTGACAATGAGTTCCTCGTGACTGTTGGTTACTTGGTTCAAGCAAAAGACAATTGCACTAGCTCACTTCACAGGCCTCCCCTGTGTATCTTAGGGACATGTTGAGAGACAAACTGCACAAAATCTGCAATAGAATTTCCACTTGAAGTGCTTCCTGTACCAGAGAAAGCTCACTGGATCAGGAACTACAGAGCAACCTAGCAATTTGCATTCCAACAAGGACTTTTTCATAAAATCTCAAGTTTGAGAACCAAGGAAACACTTTTTAATGCTATATAACCATGCATAACAATATTAGTTCATAATTATAACTGAATTCCAAATTATTAAAGTATCATGCTTTATTAAACCGTTTCTTTACTGGCAGATGGAGTAGCTTTTAGATTTTTCCTTTTACAAATACTTCAATAATGGTCTTTATGAACCACTGCTTTGACGTTTGTGGGTATCATTTCCCAAATCAGGATTATTGCATCCAATTTGGGGGTGAAATAGATATTGTAGATTTTAAGGTCTAGTAGCTATTGAAATTTACTTTTTTGTTTATTTGTTTTTGAGACAGGGTCTTGCTATGTAACCCAGGCTAGCCTTGAACTCACTGTGTAGCCAAACTGGCTTCGAACTCAAGGCGATCCTCTTGCCTCAGCCTCCTGAGTGCTGGGATTACAGGTGAGCACCACCACGCCCAGTGAAACTTCCTTTTCAGAAGTTACAAAAATTCACATTTCAATCGGTTCTATATGTGAGTACCCTAATCCCAACATCCCAATCTGGATAATATATTTTCCTACCTTTACAAGTTAGATACATTATTTTTAAAGTGTTTGCTGTCCTAACTTCTAGTCCAGTTAAGAGATTTTTAATCACATGTCCATCAGCCATTTTCATTTCGTCTACTTTAGGGTGTTTACAGATTTGCAGCAGCTGACAACGGCAGTGTTGAGAATGGGGGGAGAATAGCCTCTACAGCATCTCTACTTGTTGCCTCATTCCTAGGCTGCAGTTTCTCCCCAGATCCTAGCCTCCCTTCTGCAGACAGGTCCTAGAGCTGTTCCTTGGCTGTCAGCACGCTGTTGGGACGCTATGCTTCCCTTGGGAGCAATAACAGCAATAATTTATCACTATTACCCTACGGAGGAGGACTGAACCCAGAGCCTGGCACAGAATGGGGAAGCACTGTACCCCTGAGCTACAACACCAGCCCTTTTACAACTTTCGTTTTGAGATTTTCATTCTGAATTTGTCATTCTCCTACCTCAGTCCAGACAGTAGTTGGAGTTGCAGGTAGGCATCACTGTGCCTTGCTGGAATTATTTTCACTTGTTCATTTCCTTTGCCAGTTTTGCTATCTTCTCCTTATCTACTTGATGTAGTCCTATGGGGAGTAGGCCATCAACGATTTTCCTTCCACAGTATTGTAATAAAACCAATTATATAAATTACTAGTTTAGTTAATAATCTGATTTTCAAAGGCGTTCATTTGATTTTAATCCTGTTAACTATTTTAAAGAAGCAGCACCATTTTAGCTTCTTTTCTTAACGTACTTTAAGAAATTCACTTTCGTACGCATTTGCAATATAATGCCATGGAAAGTTAACTCCAGAGAAGCTAGCAATGAATATTATTTTACTGTGTAAAATAACAGCAGAAGAACTATAAAGATTTAAATAGTTTTATATACACGTTCAAAATTTTCCAAACTAAAACGTAGGCTTTTATGGGGGAGGGGCTTTCTCTCAGGAGCTCGTATTTAAAATCCCAAACGGGATTTCAGATACAAGTAAATACATGGCAGAGCTCCTCGGCCTGTCCTCAGCCATTCTATGCCTGAAATCCTGCCAAAATGAAATTTTCCATTCAAGAAGGGCTGGCATTTGCTAAGCTGATTTAAAAAAGACATTCTCCAAAGTCGTGGAAACTTGCTGCAACTTCTGACATGCTCTCTGGTGGACAGAACTGCGGCGGCCGCGGACATTTTCCATCCCTGTAACATTTTCTGCAAAATAAATTCCCGGCCCTTGCAAAGCCTTCAGCTACTGGGTCTGTTGACTTCCAGTGCCCAGTGCCTCTGTCTCACTAAGTATGGAGAAGCAGAAGCGACAAGAGAGAAACTGTCTCGTGCAGGGTGCAGGCAAAGAGCAGAGACAGTGGCAGAGCAGGAGCGGTTCTGCAGGCCCCTCGCGAGAGGCTCTCGTTTAATTCGGTCTGAACGCGGTCTAAAACCGCTACAGCGAGAACGGCCGCTTCCGCACACGAGGACATCACTGTCACTGACTGCGAAGGTCGAACAGTTAACAGAGAAGTCGGGACAAAGAACCCAAAGGCAGGCTGCGGAGCCCCCGGGAAGTGGTGACCACAGAGCCCAGCGTGGTACCCTGGCGGGGCAGGGTGGGCGCTGGGACGGAAACCGAAACTCTCCGCCTCGAAAACCCAGGAGAAGCGCCAAAAGCGGACGCCGTGGCAGACAGCAGAAGCAGAGGTGACGGCTACAAAACCCTCAGCGAGAAAACTCCTCTTTTTACTCTCGAACTGTTTGCACTTCTAAAACCACTGCCTGGATGAAGCCCCGAGCAGGAGATCCTAGAACTTTTTTCCCCACTTTCAGTTCTCTTCCTTTTGCGTAGCTCCTTTTCCTAGGCTGTGCACCCTGAAATTATCCCTGAGCCTTAATTTCGAATTTAATTTACTTTTCTGGCACGTTTTTGCTCCCAGACCCAAACAAAGCTCCTTTTCCTCATCAAGTATTTGTTTCACGGACGGGACAAAGAAGAGACTGCGAGGCATAAAAAAGTTGTGTGGTTTTGGGGAACTCTGGGGCCTTTGTTGTGTCATTTCCCCTTGCCCCTCCACGCCCCCAAACACGTGACCAAGAATGGCCGGAATTTTTGTGAATGGAGCCGAAAGGTGGGTGAGGGGGGGCAGGCGGGACTCCGCCCCCTTCCCTAAATCGACCAATCACCTAGTTGAGCGCTGCGGGGTCAGCAATAAACAACAATGGGCAGGGAATTTACGGCTCCTTATTGGTTGTAGGAAGAACCTCGCGGGGGCCTAAGCCGAAGCTCCGCCCTCTCCCCAGTTACCCTGGATACCCGGGGGCCTCCGGCCGCAGAAAAGGTCTTTGGAAACCATTGCTCTGATTACAGGGTCTGGGTTTTCCCGGGAGGGCGGAATGGCAAGGCATCCTTGGCGCTGTGCCTCTCCTGGTTGCACCTTCGTGGAGAACCGGAGAGCCTCTGTTCCGGCCTCGGGGTCCAGGCTGCGCCCGGAATCTCCCCTGCTGGGACTCAAAGGCAGTTCCCGCCCAAAAAGCTTGCCGAGCTCGGGGTGCACTCGCCGTGCTGTTTCAGGGAAAGCCGGGTGCGCGCGCCTGCTCTGCATTTACTACTCCTTTCCCCCGTAGTCGGTGCGGCCTTTTTGCTCTTGACCTAGATCGTGCCCCTCCTGCCAGGGTCCAGAGTGAGTGGGCGCTCACTCTCCACTTTAAAGCGCCCGCACTAGGTTCCACTTAGGGAAGGAAACTTTTGAGATGGAAATTGGGAAGGGCAGCACGTATCCCGTATCCCAGCGAGCTGTACGGCTGCCGGAAACGTCCTTTGGTCGCTGGCTCCGCTGGCCACCAGAGTCACAAGTGAATTTCAACACCACTGAGTCCCAGGCCCTTCCCCTGGGCCCCCATTCCCTGTCGGGCCGTGGCTTCTAAAGTGACGCTTTAGGGCTCCAAGCCCCGCGGCAGGGTCGGGGCCGGTGGCCTCAGGATGCAGTCTGGACTTCCTGAACGTCTCGGGGGGGCAAGGTCCTTGCAACTCGAGCCCTCTCCCCTGTCGCCCTCAACCCCGGGCTGGGGCTGTTTGAAAGCTCGGGAAGACGTGAAAGCGTCAGGTCCAGTAAGCGACGCCCAGGAAAGCCGCGGGCCGAGACCTGCGCGCCACCGGGCCCCGCTTGCCCCTCCCCACCCCCGCGGAGGACAGGAAGCGATTTCCCCTCCCCAGCGCTCCAGGAGGGAGCGGTCTGATTTTTAGACTTTCCCCAGTCCTCCCTCCCAACGCAGCCACCCCCGTAAGCAATTCCTCAGCTTCTCCCTCGGTTTTCCTTTATTTTCCCCTCCCGCGGACGATGGCAGCTCATGGCAGTTGAAAATGGGTTAGGAAATGTTTGAATAACCATAGTGGTGGGCAGTGTTGAGAAAGGAGAGAACTTGGGCCAACAGCGTAGCGGGAAGCAGACTAGAGATCGAGGCGAGCTCCTGGTCCGGCCGAGTAGAGAAGGGTTGGAGGTTTAGGGGGGCTGGGGTGCGGGCACGGACGTAGGGGACTGCACGTGAGTGCTGCGTACACCTAAAGCCTCCAGCGAGGCTTTTGGGGAATCAGCCCGGTAGTGGACCAAACACACCCGCAATGAGGACGGGCGCCCCGGACCGCGTGGTTTCAGTATCCCCAGACGCCTTAACAATAAACAGGGAGTTAGGGAGGAAGTCGGTTTCCTCCGTGGCTTTTCCCAGCTGCGGACCCCGCGCTGGCTGGAGCAGCGCGGGCTGGGGCGGAGGGGTGCAGGGGACCCGCGGGAAGGGGCCGCCAGCCTCGTGATTGACAGCCCGAAATCTGATCTTGTGAAAGAGACGTGGAGCCAATAGGAGGCAGCGATCCATCAGTTTGGATTGGAGGCCCCTGGAGGAGAAGTAGAGGAAAAACCACCGAATTGAGCTCTGTCAGAGGCGCTTTCGGCTTCCAAGGGGAAGTGCTGGGCGATAATTAATGTTTTTATTAAATTTGGAGGGAATTTTTTGCAGCCGTTCGCCTAGCGTGGCCTTCAGGTGGGTCTTTCCAACAACTTTTTGTGTCTCTCCAGATAATTGCATGGTTATGGGTTGCAAAAACTATCCTTCTGAAAGAGGTATCTCGTCTCTTTAGTCCCGTTAGGTGCAAAGCAAGTCTCCTTGATCGCCATTGCTAGTTTTGCACACGTTTGCGAATCAGAGCTGTCCGGGGTACACCGACGCGCAGGGAAACATCGAGAGTGTAAATAAATACAGCGCATCCGGTTCGGATTTTTGCTACTGCCGAAAATATGTAAATTGTGAACTCTCTTGGCTCTCTTAGGATCCAGGTGAAGGAGGCGGTGTAGGGAGGGTTATTTTTGTGAATGGGACTGTCGGAGGGTAATTAGCTATGCAAATTCGAGAGCTTCATTCATGATTTTTTTTTAAAGCCTAAAGCCATCTTGTTCCCCTCTAGGTTGATAGAAGTCCAGATCCCGAGGAAATCTCCAGATAAATGCTCAAAATATAAAACACTGAGCTAATATTTGCGAAGAGCAGCAGAATGGATGGATTTTATGACCAGCAAGTGCCTTACATGGTCACCAATGTGAGTGATCAGTGCGAAAGTTGCTGTTGATAAACTTGACTCCGCCGAGGGGTGGGGAGAGGGAGTGAAGGAGAAGGGAGGGGCAGGGGGTTGGGATTGCAGATACTTTATCTGCTTTGTTGCCACTGTAGGGCGACTCTGCTTCTAGAAGCCCAATCTTCAAAATGAGCTTACCTTTCAGTGGTTTGGATAAGGCGTAGTTTTGTTTTTAAGATCCCTTTTTCTGATTAAAGTGCCCAAGATGAGTGGAAGAGGAGATGGAGGGCAGCAGCAGCTGCTGAACTCAAAGTTTGTGGCTGGGTTTGTCTGCCACATTGAAAAGAAAGAAGTTGAGACAAATGCTGACACATTGTGTTTACATGGGGTGTTTTGATTTTTGCTATTTTTTTCCTCATTTTCTCTCTCACTTGTTTTCATTTCTCCACTCCTTTTGCTTTTATTTTTTGAGGGTGGCTTTCTGAGAGAATAAAATTCATTGTAGTTTAATCTAGCTCTTATTCAGCTTAAAAACGACTTTAAGTGTAATAGCTTGATGTTGTTTTGATGCTGAAATACTATGAATATATATGACTGATAAACAGTAGTGTTAGGATCGGTGCATGGAGCAACTCTCCCCTGCTGTTGAATTCTCAGCATAAGCTTTCGCTGTCAAATAAAGGCAGAAAATTAATATTAGACTTGATCCTATAAACTTATTTTTCTATTCAGAGAGGATCCAGTAGGATTTTGTTATGTATGCATGTGTACTTTTGTGTGTGACATCTGAGGTTTACATTTTTTAAAAAGGATTTTATCTTTCCCTTTGTAGAGTCAGCGTGGGAGAAATTGTAACGAGAAACCAACAAATGTCAGGAAAAGAAAATTCATTAACAGAGATCTGGCTCATGATTCAGAAGGTGAGGTTCGATTCTGAGCTGAATCCCCCCTTTTTACCTACATTCTCTGCCCTCACTAAGAAAGGAAGAACTTCGGTCTTAGCTAAAAAATAATAAACTTTGAAGTTATTGAATTTAACCAAGACTTTTACTTGGAATAGCTTACATAACGTAACAGTTTGCATTAGAGAATATTTTATGAACTTGTCGCAAACTAATGAAAGAAGGAAAAAAACCTCAACAATGACATTCTTCTTTTACTCATTGTTTCGTGTTTACTCTTGCCCATATGGCATATAACTAATCCCATACACTAAAATAACAACTTAAAATATCCAACACAGAAGGACAAAGTAAGATGCTATGTACACTGCTTATGTTTTTCTTTCTACTTTATTACAAGTTAAATGACATAAACTGATGTTTCTTTTCTCATCATCTTTATACTAAAAGCACATACTATTATCAGAATTTTCATGGGCAAGTTTGATAACTAGATGATGCAGTCAGAACATCTTGTTAATAGACCTTAAAGTGTTCACTGTATCATACTTAAGGCCTAATTAATACTTATGATACTATTTGGGAAATTAGGTTGTACATTCCTTTTATGAACTGATGGTTGGAGGTCAATGTATTATACATTATTTCAGCCATATGGGGGCATTCATAATAAATTGAAAGTACTTAGGTTTAATTATCAAAGTTCAGTTATGCAGTTTAAATTAGATGTACTGAATAATACTGAAACTTTCTTAAATCTCATACTTTTTGGGCATCTCCTGTCTCCCTGGTGTGACGATATACAGTTTGGGACTAGATAATAAACCAGTACCAGGGGATTATATGTCTTTGACTTTTATAAATCTATTAATATACAAAATTTAATTTGTATTTCAAGTTGTTCTTTTTAGTTTTGAGACATTAAACCTGAAAACAGTACTTTGAGAATTAACTTCTTATAACATGTATGTAAGATTCAGGTGATGTAAATAAAATGCTTTCCAGTCTTTCCCAAATTTCCTTTACTACTGTTTTAGCAAGAGTTGAGAAAGGTTTCTGTGAATAGACCACCTTTGCTTCAGCATGTTTTGAAAATTCTGGTTTATGGTTTTTTTTGGTTTTTTTTAGTACCCTACATTTACTTATTAAGCTATTTGTTAAAAAGCAGGAAAAAAAAAGAAAGGTGATTGACTTTATTATTTGGTTGACTAAAGAATTTCTTAAAGTGTTGCTTAATAGACATCAAAAGTAGGATTACTGTGCTATTTATTATGAATATTATTTTTCTATCCACTCCCTTTCCCCAAATTAAATTCGTATTTAAAATCAATTTTATAACAAACATTTGCATTTAATGTCTAAAGATTTTCAAATCTTATGTTTATGTCTTTGAATTGTTTTTTAGAACTCTTTCAAGATCTAAGTCAATTGCAGGAAACATGGCTTGCAGAAGGTAAGGCAAAAAAAAAAAATGCCTAAAAAGGGGGAAAAGCAACTCTAGAGGGGGGAAAGAAAGTCTTGAACTTGCTGTCTTAATGTTCAGCCCAATTAATTGAGCTCTAAAAGAGCCACCTCATGTGTCATGCATACATTAGAGCCTCTGATGAGTTTGTCTTTGGGGACTCTGGGGCGGCACTACCCAGTGTCATCACAAATTACCAGGAGAAATTGCTTCCAGCTCACAATCACATCTGCTTTTGGCAAGAACTAATGCACCAAGACTTCAAGTTCTAAGCCTCTGTTCAGATTTTAATTGCAATTGATCAGGTTTATATTATTGTACCTCGAGAGACCTCCTAGAGCCAGAACCCGGCTGGCTTGCTGTTTCCTTTAGAGCAGCGCATATCATTATTTGGTGTTCTGGTGGAGGACTTTTCTGATGGCAGAAATTAGTTTCTCTGGGTTCATCAGGACGGGATGCTTCAAGATTTAAGTGCAAGTGTCTTCTTTCCACCTTGCTCACAACACAGAACATTAGGTGTGTATCCACTACTTAGGAAATCTATGGGTTTAAAATAAATCTTCGGGGGATTTAAGGATGTTAAAAATGTTTTCTGTGTATTATTATGCATGTGGTGTTTGTTGAAACTGACCTTTGCTATTTCGTCACTTTTATTAGGGTTTATTTAATATAACAAGGAGACATTTAAAGGCATTTTAGACTATTTTTTGATAAAATTTAATGGTGCAACCTACTATATCTCCTATAGTGTGCAACTTTATGTATAGAAACAATGAGATACTGCTTCAGTAAAGCTTTATATATCTTCAGAAATGTCTAATGTTGAGAGATTTTTCTTGGCATCTAAAATTTAAAGTTTTCCTTTTGGATTGGGCAGAGTAAATGTGAAATGTTAGTTTTATGAATTGTTTTTTAGGAAACAAAAGAGTAAATTATAGATATTTGAGCACTGAGTATAATTGTGTTACTGGTGTGTTCACATACCATGAGAAATCTGCAATTTTGGAGACAAATTTTTAAGGTGGTTGAAAGAGAGGGGGTCTCTGAATGGGACTCGAGTGTTGTGGCTACTTTGACATGGACTGATGTTTTATCAGTGGTCTTGTATGCTGTTGACTAAGTTGCTATTAGCAGGTAAAATAAGTTTCTTTGTTTTGCTGATATTCTAGTTCTCCAAAGAGCTTTTGCAATCTTTATGAATCTTTTAAGTTAAATAGCTTTCCCACTAGTCCTTGTAAAGGGTGATTGTATTTGTATGTTAATAAAAGGTAAATATTAGTGAAAGTTTTGATTGTAATTAAAGGTCATTTTGCTTGTCTTTCTAAATGAAAGTTTTTGCAATAGATTACTTATTATTGCAACATAAGCCATATAGTCAAATATAACTTTTTCATGAAAAAAATTGCAGGGAGGTTCTTGTGTTAACTTTTATCTATTAGTTGTGCTAAGTTGAAGGTTGTGAGAATATTATATTTATGAGAGAATTTATTTGCTTATCAAAAATAAATAGCTATTTTAATTGTTGTGGAAGGTTTGTTAAGTCTTAAGATGTTTAAATGTGATTGATTCCAAGTGATTCAGTATACTTGCTGAAAGATTTTGAATGTGCATAGCAACTCTGTTCCTGGAATTTTAAAATGTGGAATCTGCAACAGACTCCTACCATTCTATAATCAGTATATGTGTATATATATACATATATATATGTATATATATATGTATATATATACACACACACACACGTATATATGTATTTTTAACTTTTGACTTGTGAATAGCTTGGAAAAGCGATTTGAATAATTTATCTGAGTTTATCTTTTAGAACTCTGAATGGAATCTTCTTACCCGTGATTATTAACATATCTATGAACCAAATCTGCAGATTTAGTTTTATATAAAATCTGGAAAATGACTGATATATTTGGAGGAGCACAGGCTTTAACTTAGGAAGGAATTAATAAGCTTAATTAAATTCAGAAATTAATCTTGAGTGTTTTATTAATACCCAGGTGTGCTACTATTTACAAACTATGAATGAGCTTGCAGTTTAGAATAAGCATTTTCAAAATAGTTTACATTAATTTATCCAGTCATGGTGTAAGCAAAAGTTTGTCAATATAATTTTAAAAAATCTGATAATGAGAAAAATTTTTCTTTTCCTGTCCAAAACATCCATATTGATTTTTGGTCTTAGAAATGAATACATTATTTACACTAATATTGTGATGATTTATCTCATCTCTTGAACAATATTAGCTAAGAAGAGATGCCGAAACTACTCTAGTTTTATTTGCAGTTACATTTGTCTATTTTTTTTTTCCTTCTGGAAATCCAGAAATTAAAACATTGCTAAATTAGCAGAGTATGAACTGTTTACATATTTCTTTTCCTAGTACTCCACAGCCAAGACAGTGACCATGGAATTTTAAGATATTTTGACCCTTTTAAAAAAGATCACTGGCAATTAAGCAAGTTTCTCCCATGAGTTAGAATCCCACTGGGAAGTTAAACAGGTCTAAAAATCTTATTAGACATGAGAATCAAGTTAGTTGTAATGTGTCATATGACAATTGTGTTTGTAAACACTCAAGTCCCTAAATATTTGAGAAATGATATATATTAGAATGTCTAAATTATTTTCCTGTTAAATTTTTTATAAATGTGACCAAGTGCAACATATCCATGAGTCATGAGTAAATAACTATGGATTATAAAATGTATTTTATCTCTAAGGAAAAGGTGGGACAGATAAGGCAGGACTATTTGAGGGTGGGGGGTCCAACAAGTGTTTTCAATTCACTAAAATTCTTTCTGAACATCACTTATATCTTCCAACCTCTAAGAAGAAAACTCAATTCTTTAAGGGATCGAAAATATGTTTGTGAAGAATGTAACTTTAATATCACTTTCAGTGTGTAATCTAAGGTTTAACCTAAATACCACAAGTTAAAGGAAACATTTTATTCTAAAGAAAAATGAAAAGCTAATATTTCCAGTGATATCAGCAGAAAAAGTAGAGAGGATGCCTATTTAAAATTTTTCCATGGCTACTTCATATTGTAATTTTACTATTTGCAATACTTTATTGATTCTTTGTCTTTTGAGTTAGAGTGCTAGAGATAGAAAGGCAATTGCAGTTATTTGATTCCATAAGTAGTGAGTTCAAGTATCAGTTCTATCAGCATCACGGTATCTTCTTGTTTCCTAACCTGTTTTAAATATCTTAGTAAGTAATGTCCTAAAAAGTCATACTTAAAATGGATTCTCTTGTATGGGGAGTACAGAAATCGAAGGATATAAAAAACTCAGTTAAGGGACTGCATTCTCCTGAACTTGCTTATTACAGCTTACTAACACAACTAACAGAGAAATAATAAAGCTCAGTGTAGACCTAATGTACATACATTACTTTTGACTGTTATTTTGCTGTGGGTCTGAATGTCTTGAGGTTCCCTTTCATTGATAACCTCGAGGAAAAAGTCAACAGTAATTGGCTGCCATCAGGGTATAAATGTTTTTCAATGGTGTGGTAAATCAAGTTTCACATTTTCAGTCAAAGTTTTATCTCCAGGAACAACCTTTCTACACTGAAGTTTATAATTACCTCATCCAAATAAGGTTTATTGCCTTTTGGTTTTATGTAACTTTCCAATATTTGTCAAACTAACTTAAAACTAGAGATGTCATTACTTTTCCTCAATTCACTTTAAACACCAATGCTAAAATTATATTCATTTTTATAATGTCTCTAAATAAATGTGCTATTGTCACTAGCTGCATATTTCAACCACAATACACAGTCATAAGACACTTATTTTTATTTTTAAAAAATTCTGTTTCTTTTCTAAATGGAACATAACATTGGATGTGCACATGATTTTTTCCTTTTTGCCTATGTGGTATAGTAAGGAATAAAAGCAATACAAACTGCATTATTTATGTAATTTACACAAACCAGGAGTCAAGAATTAAGCACTAAAGGAGTCCATACAATTTCTTAGAATTGAGTAAAAGTGGATTCATGTATGTGTGTATAGGGAGGCTAACACCTCTTTTTTTGTTAAACCAGGAAAAACTATAAAATATGACAGTTCTCTTTTAGACCTGATTTAAAGATAGCAGGTAGAGCAAATACATTATACTTCTAAATTTTCATTGGAAATATGTAAATATTTTCTCATCTTTATTCTACTTAAAAAATAGAAAAAAATTTAAATACACAATTGGATTTGATATAACACAGTATAGTTTTTCTAGAGGATCCTAATAAATGTTAATGAAATATAACTGAGCTTTTCTAGTTCATTTACAGAAAATGTTTAATTTCTTTCAGTTCATAATGTAACTTTGTTCCCTTTCATTCGTATGTATAATCATGTAATTAAAGATAATAATAATACAGTCAGACCGCTAGCATTAGAGAAAATAATTGGCTACAGACAATGACTAGTAGGCTCCCAGCTTCCTTTAAGATTTTAAGTCACTGCAGGTCAGTTTGTTTAGGAATTGAAGCTGTTTGAGGGACAAGATAACTAAAATTTGTATTTTCTTCCTTTCAGAGCATTACAGTATCCACCATTAAAGGTGTTTCTGTCATAGGAAAATGGCCCTCATTTTTGTCTGATTAAATTTGTTTATGCTTCTGCATTAATTAATGCTTTTACTCCTGTACAGTCATTTTAATGTTAAAACCGGATGTGGTATAAAACTAGGCTTAGTGGACTCATGATTATTTTGTTCCATTGCCCGAAGGCTCGTTTTTGGCTAAAAGGAATACCACTGTGCAAAGGTTGCTTTTTTTGTTGCTTTAATTTATTTAACATAAAATATAGTTTCTTTAGAGAAATTTGTTTCTAATGCTTTAATTCAAAGTGAAATGCTACAAATATCAGAAATAATCTCTTGCACTCTTCTAATAGAAACTTGAGTAATAGGAAGAAAAATAAGGAACTCTTTTAATGATTTTTCTTTTTCTTTCCAACCTTCTCTTTTTTTCCTTTTCCTCTAGCCTTCCTTTCTACCTTAATTTTTTGCACATTCAAGTTCTGTAGACTAAGTATGATGGGTTAACTATGTTCATTTGTGCGTACATAAATGTCATTTATTTCACTTGTATATAAGCAGACGTGTGTGTTTATCTATCTATCTATCTATCTATCTATCTATCTATCTATCTATCTGTCTATCTATCTATAGCCTTATATAACTTGTCGTTTATTTAAATGTTTTCTAATGGATCTGAGAGCAGTAAAATTGGTGTGTTTATATTGCAAGTTCAAGTTTACTTGCTTGGCTCTCTGGAAGGGTGTGACACGAAAAGATTGTGGTTGGGCCACATGGCTCATGCTGGACTGTGTTTTTGTGAATGGAGGCAGGACTCCAGTTCTGCCTGCTTGTCTTGAGGAATTGCTGAGGAGATCAGCTGTCTCATTCACGGGCAGAAAGAATGACTCATACATCTTCCGCCTTGTTTGGCTCCAGGTCATTGTTACAGTGGATAGAACTGGTTTTAATTAAATATTAACCCCTTTATACTTGACATTTGCTTTATTTGTAATTTTTCTGCTTTTTTCTGACTTTTAAAAGAACAGCCACCATGTACCTTGTTTGGAAGAAAAAGGGAACCATTGACTTGCCAGCAGCTAACCTTGGAAAAATTTTAAACTCTCACCCTTCCTTTTGATGACTATTACTTTATTTAACAGTTAAAAATAGGCATAAAGTAAAGGCAAGCTCTCTTTAAAATTACCTGTCCCCAAGGCAGTGTTAGTTAAGAAAGGATATTAAAGTTAAAAATCAGTGACGACTTTGTGACATTTAGGTTATGATGAATATTTTTATGAATTTCTTTCCCATAATATGTACTGCTGTGTAGTAAAAAGAAAATTAAAGAACAACTAAGGATAATTATCTAGGTAAAGCAAAGAGCTGAGAGTGCAGATACTACCCCTTTAAAGCTGCAATCCTGGACTTGATGGCTACTTGTCTATTAATGTGCAATAAACTGATAGGGCCACTCCAGCTATTACCAATAAAATCTACATGATTAATCTTCCTGAAAGCCTTTTATTGGCCTTTTGGTACGTATTTTCTCTTCTTCCTCTTTTTTCCTCTTCCCTTTCTCTTTAATTACATAGTGTCCAGAAACATTTTCATTCCCTGAAGGTCATCATTTCAAGCATAGTTTATAATAGATAGTAGTGAAAAACAATTTTTTTTAGGTTGGCCTGTATTGGTAATTTTCAGCTTTGAAGTTGGTATGGCTTGCAACAAATTTTCAGGCAGCTGTAGCTTTCTTCTTCATAGAATTCTTGTGAATTAAAGAAAAAGAAAAAAAAAGAAGGAAATGTATGATCCGAGTGTGGCAATACTTTGTCATATTTTCCTTGCAGGGATCCAACTTGTGTTTTTACTTAACTGCTTTCCTTTTACTCCAACTTGAAATTAGAGGTATACTTAAGCCTTTGTCTATTTAAGTAGCATGCTGCTTCATTTGGTCTATTCAGTTTCTTAAGATTAGCTTCTGTGAAAATGTGAATCATGTTTTTTGTTAAAATTCTGTAATATGTTCAAGCATAAGTGTGAAGTATTTATTCAGTATGTTAAGGAGTTGGAACAGAAATAGCAATTCTTGTTCTTACTCTTTTTACAAATTGTGAGTATGCAGTTACAGTGTGAAGTGTGACTTCTAGAATCTTCTGTCCCTTCGCAATTGACCGTTTTTCTCACACATAACCCAACACACACCACAGGCTCCCAAGGAGGACCTGGTTGCTGATGCTCTAGCCATGATGCGTATTACAGAGCTGCAACTTATTTTATGATGCTAAGAAAGAAAAATCTGGTCTCTAGGACATTCATACCAGCCTATTCAGTTACAAATATACTTTTGTTACCCACCAGCTATTTTAAACTATTCCTGTAAAGGGATAATTACATTTTTATTAGATTCTTGTAAATGTTGGCTTTGTTAAAGCACAATAATTGCTGTGGTTGATAATATTACATCTCATTAGTTATCCAAACGTGTGAATATCATGGGGAAAATCTTAGTGAATTGATTACTTATTCTTATTAATTAAGCATATATTAAAACACTTGTAATTTTTCTGGTGTAAAGACTTATTTCAAAGTGTACTTCTCTTATAATTTATGAGTCTATGAGAAGAATTAAGCTTACTGCAATGTTAAAGCATGTTACTTGTGGCCAAGAGAATGCTAATGTGTAAGTTTTAGCTTTTTGGGTTTTTTAGGGTCTCAGAATTCATTAGAAGTAAAGATACTAACCTGGACATTGTAATGATTAAATTACTTCTCTGTGACTTGAAAGAAAAGGGTAAGTGGTAGAGGGCTACAAAAAAGAAAATAAGTATCTGTGTATCTGCCATCATGTTTAGATTATTTAATCCTTACAAAAAAATATACCTGGTAGTATTGTTGTTAAACTGATGAATAAAATGGAGTTTAGAGAGGTTTACTAACTTACTAAAGTTACGCAGCCAGCAAGTCATAGATCTATGAGCTGAAGTTTTCCTAACTTTAAAGTTTTCCTGACTTTACTCTGGGTAAGCCCATAGTGTCACATATTAGTGGAATATGAAGAGAAAGATTCTTCTAGGTTAGGTTTGTCCAAAAGACAACAGTTATAACTTGAAAATGTTCTTAACTTTTTTAGTTTCATTTGGTGGCGGGGATGGTGTGTTCTTTATAATGTTAGTATTTGTGTGTAGCAAAAATAATTGAGAGTCACGCTGTACTCATTTAAATAATAGGCAAGATATTATTGTATAGTTAAGTTCTTAAGAATATAATATAACTTTTATTTAAACCAAATATTTCTGTTTTAAAAGAATCTGTTAAATAAACTGAGAAAAAGAAAATTTTTCAGTACTAAGGATCGAACCCAGACTTTCACACTGAGATACATCCCCAGCTCTTCTTATTTTCTATATTGAGATAGGGTTTGGCTAAATCACTAAGTTACGCAGGCTGGGCTGGAACTTGTGATCCTCCTGCCTCAGCCTCCCAGAATGCTGGGATTACAGGTGCGCTACTGCACTTGGTTGTATTCCTTTTCTACGTAGGATTGTTTTCATATAAAAAATTTTTATGTGGATTTTTCTTAGCTTCTTCAATTACTAGCATGAAACATTTTCAGCAGACTGATTATGTATTTTAATTATCATGCCTCATACAGAATAGGATCATTAAAAAATAAACTGGCATCTATTTTAATAAGACTTGATTGGATAAAAACCTTCAGTATTATATAATAGTAGAAAAATAATACTTGCTAATCAGATCATAGCTAAAGTTAATTAGTATGATACTTCATAATATTTTACCAAGTTAAGGTAAGCTGACTGTTGCTTTATGTGGTTTGAGTATGTGAGAAGATGTATACTGGTATATGTTTGTGAAAACATAGGTTAGTTTCATATCTGACTTGATTGTGCTGAAAACATTTTAGAAGTGAAAAAGTGGACTTGTGGCTTGATTGCTGGTGAATGCATTAAATCTTTGCTGTTCAGTATTTTTCCTTTACCGAAATACGGAAGGCAATTGACATTAAAACTGATGAAATAGTCATGTTCTTTTTGTTAATGCTGAATAGTTGCCAGGACAGTCTTTTACATGAAAAGATGGCATCTGTTTTATTGTTTATTTTTATTACAAATACGATCATTGAAGTATATTACTTGTTACAAATGTCCCAAGTAAAGGACAATCTTTCATTTTTAAATCTTTGTAGCATACTTTGATGTAGTTTAGGGCAAACATTTTAAATTGTGGCAGTCTAATTTATAAGAGCTAGAAGATACAAAAAGCAGTTATTTCTAAAAACGCAGCAGGATGTGTGTGATACCTGAACATCACTTAAAAGGCTCGTGTGGTTCATTTAGATGGGCTGCTTAAGCACTGCCAGTGGGTGAATCAAGATCTCTTTTGCTCCTTGCAAAATGAAACCCCACAGGAAATAGAAATCCTGTAGCTTTTATTTTGTGACTCTCTTATTTCCATCTGGCAAGTGAATTTCTGAGGGACTACACCTGCCATATTTCTTACATATTTATGTTTTCTAGTTGACATTTATGTTCCCTTCTCTTTCCCCTCCTACATAGTACTGCCAATACCATTTTAAATAGGAGCTTATTGACAAATAATTATAGCTGTGATCTTAGCTTAAAAAGGCCTTGCTTGACAGATGTGACCTGACATGCCTTGTGCTTTGGCAGTTTCTCTCTTAATTTTTTCATTTTCTTCTTCAGCTCAGGTACCTGACAATGATGAGCAGTTTGTACCAGACTATCAGGCTGAAAGTTGTAAGTATAGTATGACTCATCTCTTGTATTTTTCTGTGTCTTGTTTCTTTCTTCCCTTCTTTCTCTTTGGTTGGTTTCCGCTCCTAGTATCTGTCAGTACGCTGTGCCCATGTCCTTTGAGCGTGCAGTGATGCGATGATTTTGTCAGTTTGTGACATCACCAGAGCCCTTGTATGATCTAAGTAAGGCTTCAAATAGTGGGCAAGGAAAGCTGATTTATTTGAAAGGTGATTCTGTTTTCCGTATTTAGTATACACTCTTGGAGAGGAAATGGTGTGATCCACGAATGTGCAAATGTTTACTTCCATTTTGCCAATTTGTTCACAAGGAAATGTCTGGATGCTAATGGGAAATAGCAGAGTTAAAATCCATATGAGATTAGTTATTGTATAACTTGTAAAATAATCTGGAGCAAACATTCATTGGCTTATTGTGCTATTTCACATTCATGAACTATCATATGCTTTGGTTTAATTTTTAACCTGAAATGTTCTTCCTAACACAAATGGGAGGAGCCACTGGCTTCTTTCAGAGCCCCTTCCTTGTTCCACTCTCTGAGCCTTGCTGCAGGCTCTGACTGTCAGAAAATGCATGGGAAGTGACTCATGGCATACTCACCCTCCTAAATTGCACAGTGAGCATTGTACCCGTACAATCATAGTTGCCTCTAGGTTTATTGCTGATTTTTGTACTTTGCCATTCTTCCAGCTAAGTGCAGATATTGACCTGAGAAGCAAACAGTAAAGAAAAGGGTACACAATATCGCCCCTTATCAGCAGGGGATGCATTCTAGAATATTCTGCAGATGCCTGAAACTATGGATGACACGAAACCTGTTATGTACATACTGTTCTTCCTTATAGATACAAACCTCTGATAAAGCTTAATTTATAAATTAGGTATAAGTCAGACTAATAACAATAATTAATAAGGTAGAACAATGATAACAATATGTTCTAATGAAAATTATTCATTCTTTCTGGAATTTTCCAGTTAATATTTTTGGACTGTGGTTGACATCTATGAACTATCAGATGCTTTGGTTTAATTTTTAGCCTGAACTGTTCTTCTTTCTCACTGTAGAAACACAAATGAAAGGAGCCACTGGCTGTTTTCAGAGCCCCTTGTGTGTCCCTGTAAGATAAGTTAAGAAACTGCAACAAGTTAAGCTGTCTATAAGTGGGGACCATAGTAGATATCATTTAGATTATGAAACTGCTTTAATGAATTCTCATTCTGTTGGTGTCATTTAAATCTCTAACTTGTTTTATTTTTTTAGACCACTGACAGTGTCAGGCAAGGCAATATTAATGTCCTGCAACTTACCAAATCCATATTTTTATACCTTAACATCACAAATTCTACATCAACACATTTGTTGAAAATGTTTTTAACTTTTATGTTTGGAATCTTAAATTTTTCTGGAATAGAATGTTGTGGAAGGCTTCTTGTAGGTATTTTACCCATGGTATATATTTTATTTCAGCTTGATTTTTTAAAAACGTAGTAAAATATGCATAACATAAATTGGTCATTTTAACCATTAAGAATTGTGTAATTCAGTGCCTTTAAGTGCATTCTCTTGTGCTCTCATCACCACTATTCAGAACTTTTCCATCAACCCAAACCAAAACTTTGTGTGCCTAAAACAATAATTTCCCACACCCCAAATTCCCCAGCCCCTCACTGTTCTGTCACCTTTATTTTGATCTGAGAAGAGTATTGTGTTTTTTAAAATATCTGAATACAGGTATTTGACATACACTTTCAAGAAATGCATTCAGCAATAGTACAGACCTTTGTCAGAGACAGTAAAAACACTCTCAGGAGGGCAATGGCTGAGAACAACAGCTACACAAGGCCTCCCTTATTGATTAAAGTGTAGGCAGAGAATGGTTGTATTTCCAACATTTCTCTTCCTATGTGGAACTTGAATTCTTCTTCTAAAAGCTCAGTCTATTATCTGAGTGAGAGAATTAATCTCATTGAGTCATTTTGCATCTGAAGAAATTGGTAACAATTCCAATACAATACCAAATGTTTGGGTAAAACAAACTACGTAAAGTAAGTTTTTTACTCCTTTTCTATTGACTTCTTTTCAGCCTTTTTTATTCCTGAGTATTTTGTCCCCTTGAACTCTCATCTCTTGGTCACAGTGATGTGATGCTTTTCCCTTTCTCTTTTTCCTCCTTTGACACCCCACCTTCTTATTCCACTGGGCTTCTCTCCTATTTCACATGCTGCCTGCCAGCGCTGTGCCGTAGAATCCTGTGTTGATGGAAGTGATCTGTATCTGTGTCACCACATACTGTAGCCACTAACCACATTGGCTTTAAGCATATGAGATGTGGCTAATGAGACCATAGAAACTAATTGGTAATTTTAGTTCATTTTCTTACCTAACATTTAGACACCTGTGGGTACTGGTTACATTACTGGTCAGCATAGTTCTCTAGAGCAATGCTGAATACATTCTTATCTCCAGTCTGGTCCTTCCTGAGTCAGTTGCCTATTGACTGGACATCCTCACCTGATTCCCTACATCTCTAGACTCACTCACGCTTTCAACCATATGTTGGTATAAAACATGACGTACACAGCAGCCCCCATCTTCAGTGTGATGCTTTACAGGCAATCCAGGCTTCAAAAGCCTAATGTTGAAATCTTCACTTTTTTTGACCAATATTTCCCTTCTGTTTTCATTGTTTCCAAGGTAAACATGTGTACTTTATCCTCAGTCCCCTCAGTTCTTTATCATGAACAGCCAATTGCTAACCAAGTTATTGATTCAGCTTTTTAAATATCTGAATGTCACCATCTTTGCTCCACCTCTTTTTCATTAACTTAGTTCACATAAACATTTTGCCTTGATTGAACCTCTGAATCAACCTTTGATTGGTTTTCTCACTTTCATTTTCCTTGCCCTTCCCATTTTTCTTTCCCACCCTTTGCAGAGGCATCGACACCTATCTGAACTTATTAATTTTCTCCTTCAATTTCCTGTAGGTTAAAGTCCTAACTTTTTAGTTGTACAGAAAATTGTTCTATAACCCAGTCCTGGACCGTCTTATCAGTTTTGACTCTCACCACTTTGATACCTTGTTCCTTCCCATTCTCTGCACTTTAATTCTTCTGAGTTTTCAGTTCTTCAAAAAGATCATATTGTTTTCTGCCTCATTTTTAAGTTTTCACTTTTGTCTTGGAAGTTTATGATCTTGCTATTTCTTATTCAGCTTAGACTTCATCTTACTGAGGTCTTTCTTTGCCTTTTCTTGGCACCTTTAACCCTGCAGAGTTAGCTGGACTCTACATTTTGCATCATCTATTTATTACGGTAGAATAGTCTACATACATGTCTGTCTCTGATACCATTGTGAACTTCTTGAGAATTGGGCATTAGTCAGGCCTTACATGTTATAGAAGCACAAAATGTGAAAATGTCATCATAATCCTGGTCAACTTCCTAGTGTTTATTTCTTGAGTATTTTCCAAGTTTTGATTTTTTTCTTAAGGTGGAATTGTATGGTCGTGTTTGAAAATAGTATACATAATGTCAGTCTGGTAAAATTGTCAAAATAAAATTTAACTAAACATTTTTAGATTGGTAAAGTTTTATGGCTTTTGGATTTGTGAATAAAGACACCTATAAACAATAAAATGAATCTGGAATAATTAATAAAATAAGATTGAGATATACTTTATTTAAAGTTTTCATTGACATTAAAATTTTGTTCAGGTGATGCTGATCAGCTAATTCATGAGAGAGCAAAAGGGAAATTATTTGAAGAGAAGAATAGAAGAGTTGAAGGATTTCTGGTTGGAGAAGGTTATCAGATACTGGAATTGGGAGGTTAAGTGGTCTCTGAAATGCATTTTACAAACGCTTGATTTTCATCTCTGAGGATGGTTAGTGGGGCAGAAGAATCCTATCTCTAGAAATAGAAAGAAATTGCATCCCCTCACTTTATTGCCCATCTATAAATCTACTGGGCTACTTTTTTCAAAGTGAATAATCAGATTTGATAAGATACCTCCTTGGAATAAGATGCTTCTGTTTTCCCTTTAGTCCTTGGGAAAATGAAGGTTAGCCAAATAGTAGTAAAATTCTATTCAATACAGGATTACGCTAAGAATATATATTTGAGTGTAACCTGCTTGAATATGTATAGAAGAATAGAGAACAGGGCCAGGGATTTAGCTCAGTGGTTCCGCTGCCTGCCTCTCAAGTATAAGGTCTCAAGCTCCATACCCGGTACCAAAAAAAAAAAAAAAAAGAAGAATAGAGAACAGAACACTGAAAAATTGTGAAAAGAATATTTAACCATAACACTTGGGAACTTTCTAAAAAATTCCTTATTTTTATTCATTTACTATTTCAAAAGTCTGAGCTCCAGTGATGTTATACTATAGTTTGCTACCTTTTGAAGAATGCTAAATTTTGAAGCCAGTTTGGATACAAAAACCAAATACAAATAAACAACTTCCTGCAAGTCCATGTCAGGGAAAATTGACATGGTTTGAATACATTGTTTTTAGCAATACTTTTTTTATAACTTAGACACTGCTGGGAACACATAGTATTACTTCAGAATGTGCTTTTGTCAGGAGTATTTCAAACAGGGATGAGCTTTATCTTTCAGAAGTTGGTACAAATTTGTATATAAACTGAGTCTTTATAAATAAAATGCATCTTGAACTACATCTTATGTTTTTAGTCATATATTTTTATATTATATCACTAATAATTTAAAATTTTCCCTTTGTTTGGTGCATTAAGATGAGTAGTATTTTTATAACCAACTTGTTTCCATTTGGTTACATTAGGGAGTATAGGGAGCATAGGGAGTCACATGATAGGTGACTTTTACATTTACCTTTCACATTCTCCCAGAACAGACTCAGGAGTATAGCCAGGGTTATGCAAAATTCCCAGCAGGGTAGATCTTTGTAACTCTGTTCTTTTTTTTTGCACTCAAGAGAACACACTGGAATGCAGGGCA